GTTGCTCCTGCACCTCGCTCAGCCAGTGAGCGGGAACCGGTCTGTATGTGGGATCCGAACCCTCGGCTGGAGCGCCACCGCGCTCCCAAGCAGCACACTGTAGCAGTGCGCCACCGGGCCGGCCAATGGGCATGGTTCTGATGGCTTTATAAGGAGGGCAAGTAAGAAGGTTAGCTCATGCCATTTCTCCCCATGTGATAAGCTGGTCACCAGGGGACTCTGTGTGGAGAACCCACCAGATGTGTTCCCTGGACTTTGGCCTTCCCAGCCTCTGATGTGGGCATGGTTCTGATGGCTTTATAAGGAGGGCAAGTAAGAAGGTTAGCTCATGCCATTTCTCCCCATGTGATAAGCTGGTCACCACGGGACTCTGTGTGGAGAACCCACCAGATGTGTTCCCTGGACTTTGGCCTTCCCAGCCTCTGAAACTGCAAGAAATAAATTTCATTTCTTTATAAATTACCCAGTTTCAGGAATTCTGTTATAAGCAACAGAAACAGACCAATACAGTGGAAAAGTCTGAAGTTAAGAAATTTAATATTCCACATATGATTCAGCAATTCCACTTTGGGTATTTACCCAAAAGAATTGAAAGCAGGATCTCAAAGAAACATTTGTACACTCATGTTCATAGCAGCATTATTCACAATAGCCAGAATGTGGAAGCAACCCAAGTGTCCATAATGGATAGACAAAATGGGATATAGTCACACAATGAAATATTACTTCACCTTTAAAAGGAAGGAAATTCTGGGCCGGCCCATGGCTCACTTGGGAGAGTGCGGTGCTGATAACACCAAGGCCCCGGGTTCGGATCCCATATAGGGATGGCCGGTTCGCTCACTGGCTGAGCGTGGTGCTGACAACACCAAGCCAAGGGTTAAGATCCCCTTACCGGTCATCTTTTTTTAAAAAAAAAAAGGAAGGAAATTCTAACAGGCTACAGAATGGATGAATCTTGAGGACATTATGTTAAGTGAAATAAACCAGTCACAAAAACACAAAAACTGTATGATGCCGCTCACATCAGGTACATAGTGTCAAACTCATAAAGACAGAAAATAGTAGGGTGGTTACCAAGGGCTGGGGGGAGGGAAAAATGGAGAGTTATTGATTAATAGGTACAGGGTTCTAGTTTTGCAAGATGAAAAGCATTTTGGAGATTGATTGGACAATATGTGAATATTCTCAACACTACTGAACCGTATACCTGAAAATGGTTGAAGTGGTCAATTTTATGTTATGTGTATTTTACTGCAATTAAAAAAAAATTTTTTTTTTTAAAGATGACAAGCAAGGGGATCTTAACCCTTGACTTGGTGTTGTCAGCACCACGCTCTCCCAAGTGAGCTAAAAATTTTTTTTTAAAGATGACGAGCAAGGGGATCTTAACCCTTGACTTGGTGTTGTCAGCACCATGCTCTCCCAAGTGAGCTAACCGGCCATCCCTCTATAGGGATCTGAACCCGTATCCTTGTTATTATCAGTATCATACTCTCCCAAGTAAGCCATGGGCCAACCCTAAAATTTTTTTAGAATATTAAAAATCTGAAATTTCATTTACAAAAGCAATGAAAACTTTAATGTGGCTCAGAATAAAACCAACAAAAGCTATGCAATACTTTATGAAAAAAAATAAAACTTTATTGAAGGGTATTAAATAAAAGTTAAATGAACTGAATGAACGGAGAGCTGTACCATGGTGTATCGGTCCATTTCTGTTGCTTGTAACAGGATATCTGAAACTGGGTAATTTACAAAGAAATAAAATGTATGTCTTAATGGTTCAGAGGCTGGGAAGTCCAAGGTCCAGAGAACACATCTGATGAGGCCCTTCATGGTGGGTAGTGACTCTCTACAGTGATGCAGGGTGTCACATGGCAAGAATGGGCTGAGCAAGAGAGCTGACCTGGCCATTCCTTCCCCTTGTGAAGCCATCAGAACCACGCCCATGACCACCCATTAAACCATCAGCCCATTACTCCATGAGTAGATAGATCCATTCACAAGGGCACAGTCTTCACAACTTAGTCACCTCTTAAAGGCCCCACCTTTCAATCGCCATCATAGGATTTCCCACCCTCTTAACACTGCTCTAGTGGAGATCAAGTTTCCAAGACACGAACTTTTGGGGGACACATTTGACCCATAGCACATGGCCTGCTAATATTGACACACAAGAGCAATATGGACTGATCCAAAAAGCATGTCCTCATCGCAAACATAAAGTTGCAGGTTGGTGAGTACAATATACCATTTATATAAAACTTAAAATCACATAAAACAATGCTATATGATTGTGGGACAACTGTATATAGAAAAAAGCGGAAAACAAAATGTTTATCCTTTCCGTACATTTCAGGACAGTGTTACCCCTTGGTGGGGCTGGGGAGAGTGACGGAGGGAGGAGGAAGAGATGGAGTGTTTGGTTCACATCTGTAGAGAAAAAAAGCAGAAGCAAACATGCTAAAACATCAATCCTATTAAATCGGGGTGCTGGATCTGTAGGTATTGCTAGTATATTGTTCTGGGTCATTTTCTGTAGTTTAAAGATGTTTGTAGGGCTGGCCAGTTAGCTCAGTTGGTTAGAGCATGGTGCTGGTAACATTGAGGTCCAGGGTTTTTTGGCCAGCTGCCCCCCCCAAAAAGATATTTGTATTTAAATATTAAAAATAGATAAAAATAAAAATAACCCTATGAGTGCCCTCTGGGATCAGAGGGTCTCGCCATGATTCATGTATTACTGAGTGCTGCTGGGCTGGCAGGGTGCTGGGGTGGACCCTACACTAACCTCATAAACTTTACGCATAAGCTCTTCAATTGCGTCCTGCCCACGCAGGGACAGCAAAGACACAGTGTGGGCTTTGTAGCTTGAAGCCTTAGGGCTTTGGGAGGTGGGCAGAAAAATATCACCCCTTCCCCAGGCAGGGGTGTCCAGTTCATAGGTGAGGCAAGTCTGCTTGCCAAATATTTCCAGCTACTTCTTTCTGAATGCTTGCTGTGTATTAACCTTAATCCTTTCAACAACTCTATGACATTAATACCGTGAACTCCATTTTACAGATAAGGAAGCTGAGGCAGAGCAAAGTTAAGTAACTTGCCCAAGGTTACAGAGAGCTGTGATTTGAAACTGACAGTCTGGCTTCTGAATCCAGTAACAATTCCATTAGGCTCTATGCCAAGCTCATGGATTGCTGATGAGGAACAACCAGGGACTTAGGACACCTGCCTCCACCCGAGCCCAGAGACCCAGCTCCAGCTGAGACTGGCTCCTTTATCCAGTTACCACCCTGACCAGATGCCCCATACAGCAGGTAGAGGCAGACTCAGGAGCCAGACGTCATGGGTCCAGCTGTGTGACAACAGGCAGATTGCTGCCTTCTCTAAGCCTCAGTTTCTCATTCTATGAAATTGGTTGGTAGCAATACCTTTGGAGAGGGGCCAAAGGTTGAGCTGATAAACTTGTGACCAGTGATTTAATCAATCACATCTACATAGTAAAACTTCCATAAAAACCTCAGATGCCTGGGTTCAGAGAGCTTCCAGATAGCTGAACACATGGAGGTTCCTGGAGGGTGGTGGGTCTGGAGAGGGCATGGAAGCTCCGCATCCCTTCCCCACGCCTCGCCCTATGTACCTCTTCCATGTGGCTTTTCATCTGTATCCTTTGCAATATCCTTTATAATAAATGAGTAAATGTAAGTAAGTGTTCCCCTGAGTTCTGTGAGCTGCTCTAGCAAATTAAACGAACCCAAGGAGGGGCGTATGGGAACACCGACTTATAGCTGGTCGATCAGAAGCACAGGTCACAACTTGGAGTTGTGATTGACATCAGAAGTGGCAGGCAGAGTTGTGGGACTGAGCCCTCAAACTGTGAAATCTGATGCTATCTCCATATAATATCAGAGTTGAATTGAATTAGAGGACACCCAGCTGGTGTTTGCCGGAGAATTGTTGATTTGTGGAGAAACACCATATTCATCTGGGGCCACAGAAGTGTTCTGTGTTGTGAGAGGATAGTAGGAGAAACTGAGGTTGTTTTTTCCTCTATTGGAACAGGTGTTCACGAGGTCCCTCTACTGCACGTGGGAACAGACTATGGGGGCAGGGGGAGGGAGGGAACACAAGAAGAAGGATGCTGCTGTGATACAGTCGGGAGATGAGGGTGGACCAGACTGGGGCAGGGCCAAGGAGCTGGGAGAAGTGGGCTGCTTCTGGATGGAGTTGTAAGTGGAGCCCACAGGACTGGCTGAAGAACTGGGTGTGGGGTGTAGGGCCACTCTGAGGCTGTTCAGGGAGTCAGGACATATTTTTTATGAAGTCCCTGTCTATAGAAACAATGAGATTGAAAAATGGGTTATAAAATTCACGGACCCAAGTGAGGTATGGTGATGTATCAGTGAAGATTTAGCATAGAGGATAGAGAAGAGGTACGTACATACGTGCTTATCACTGACCCATGAAACTCTTCAGAGTGTCCAGGCACCATTTGGTCATGTTCTACTTACTGTCAAATGTGTCATTTCTGGCAAATTTAGTACCCTCAGCATGCGGAAGAGACAGTAATGCTATTTTGCTGGCCGTTCCTCTTGCCTTGGCTGATCTCTAGTGCCATTTATTTCATGCTGGTTGCATTGTTACTCATGACGCTGCCTCATCCCTTAGGCTGTCCATCAACGCCGCCTTCCAGCGACTCTCAGAGGTTTTACTGGGCTTGGTACATGGTGACTACAAATGCGAGTGTCAGCCAGAGTACTGTGGGTGAGAATTTTTCTGGTTACAGTAAATGCTCATATTTGGAAATTCATAGTGTAAATGTGGAACCACACATCTTCTAACCAGATCTTTCCCACACTCTTTAGGTCATGATCCCCGCATCCTTGGGGTGTGTCAACATTGACCTTGCCCCTGCTCTCCACACGCCGGTCCCCAGTGGGGATAAGCAAAGCGAATAAAGCGGCCTCCTATCTGTCCCTTCTCTAGCACCACATGAGACTGACCTGCGAGGGCAACTGTCACCTGGTGCCGGGAAGGGGCCATGGTGTTGTGGAACCGGCCTCGAAAGCCCTCGGAGGAGAGAGGCCTTAAAACTTGCCCACTGTGGAGAAGAAACTGGCCAGCCATTTAAGAGCCTGACATCTCTTCCTGGCAGCAGAAGTCACAGGCCATGGATAGTAGTCTCTGAAGTAGAAATAAAGGAATCTTCACAGATAGCAGGGAAAGGATTAGAGAGCTTCTCTTCAAAGGGACATTGCCTCATTGTAAATCCAAGTTTATCAAATAATTAGTCTCTGTCTTGAACACTGGGGAAAGCACAATTCTCAGACAATAGGCCAATTAGATCAGAAGAACCAGAAAACATCCCAAGCATTTATAATCTGTATTTTGACCAGGAATTGAAAGGCGGACTTTGATGGTACTTTATTGAGGCTGCATGTTATTATATATATATATATATATTTTTTTTTTGTCTTTTTCGTGACCGGTAAGGGGATCACAAACCTTGGCTTGGTGTCACCCACACCGCACTCAGCCAGTGAGCGCACCGGCCATACCTATATAGGATCCGAACCCGTGGCGGGAGCGCCGCTGCGCTCTCAAGCACCGCACTCTCCCGAGTGCTCCACGGGGCCGGCCCTGCATGTTATTATATTTTTAAGTAATAAAATGTAACCCTCCTTTATGTGGTTTAAAAACAAACAAAAGCCCTTGGAGGAGAAAGGCAAGGACTGCCTGATGCTTGCTTAGAACTGTGGGAGAGGGTGGTGAGGCTGCCCTGGCTGCCTGCTAGCAGCAGGGTGCACAGGCAAAAGACAACTGGGCTACCCCCGCCCCGCCCATGGGTGCTGTAGACTGGAGGCAGCAGGGCGAGGAGAGCTGGTCAAGACCCACCTACTTGGCTCCAGCCCAAGGGATGGTGGTGAAGCGTTGATGACCCAGAGCCCTGAACTTGTCCTGTGTCCAGGCAAGCAAGTGACAGGTGTCCAGAATCGGTGTAGCAGCACCGTTCTGGTGCCAGCTAGTGGGAGCCATCGGCCTGCCAGGCTGCTGTACTGGAACCAGGGACTAGCTACAGGGTTGGACCACCCTATGGGGCAAGAGTTGTAGAGTTCCTTGGGCTTCCAGCCAACCCCATGCACACAGGGATGGGGGTGGAGAGCACACTAATGGGGAGAAACAACGTAGGGCCCACGCAGATCCTGGTCTGAACCCAGATAGCACTGCAACCTTGGGTGGTCCCAGCTGTAGGAGAGGGACTTAGAGAATTCTGAGGAAAGTGCTACAAAGTGTGGGTCCCACACTTGCCTGGCCTAAGGCTGCTCCTGGTGGGGTGTGAGAGCAACAGCCAAGTCCAGGATTCCTGGTCCAAGAACGGAGGAGATCATGTCCCCATTTACTGAGATAAGAATCATACGGGAAAAGCAGGTGGGGAAGGGGTAGGGAAAATCAGGGCTCAATTCTGGGGAAACTGAGGCTCAGAAAAGTGAAGCCCAGAGCTGCAGAGCAAGGATGTGGAACCATTTTGTCTTGTAATTCCCAGGCAACACCACCTGCTCCAACTCCATGTGAGGGACCATTTTAATTTAACCAATTTAATTTTATGTAATTTTATTTATCCAATTAAGCTGACCATGCTCCTTTCTTTGTAGAGGCCCTGTGTGCAATGGCTGCAAATAGCAGCCTCCTTGGTGTTGTGTGCAGCCTGTTGCTTATTTGGGTTGCCATGAGGTACCTTGGAGATGGCCCTTTCCAAAGGACGTTCATGTCTCTGCCCTAGTACTGTCCCCAGTCTAGGGTCTGGACAGGTATGAGGGGTGCCTTTGGAAAGCCCCAGGGCACAGCAGCCAGGGCTCACGTTGGCCAAGTCATCAGGTCCATCCACACAAAGCTGCAGAACAAGGAGCATGTGATCGAGGTCCTACACAGGGCTAAGTTCAAGTTCCCTGGCCACCAGAAGATCCACCTCTCAAAGAAGTGGGGCTTTACCAAGTTTGATGTGGATGAATTTGAAGCTCATCCCAGATGGCCGTAGGGTTAAATACATCCTCAGCCGTGGCCCCCTGGACAGGTGGCGGCCCTGTCCTCATGAGGCTTCCCACTGTGCTGCCCCTCCTTCCTCACACCCACTCACAAATCCTACTTCCTGGCAAAAAAATAAAAGCATCTATGCTTTTTTCTATGATGCAGCAGACCTAGTGCTAAACATTTTTCATAAACGGTGTCATTTAGTCTTACAATGCCGGACACTTTGATCCCCTTTTAGGGGAACACAGGGAGGTTCAGAGAGACCTGCCCGAGCCCTCAGACCAAGGTGGTGGCAGATTTTAGTTGGCCTTGAGTCCAAGCCCAGGCGTGAGCTCCCAGAATCACTTCCCCCTTCCTGCCCTGGGCCAGGCTTTCCTGAGGCTTCCTCTTCCCCCTCCCTTCCTCCTTCCAGGAATGAGGGAGAGGAGGGCCTCCTGTCTTCTTCCCAGAGGTCACAGGGCCTGCTCCTGCTTACCTGCATTGCTTGGACCCAGCTGGCCACAGTCCTGCAAAGGCCCCATACAAAGGCATGTGGGAGAGATTGTCAAAGGTAATTGCCACCCTCCTGGGGACACTGGGAAATGGTCATTGTCAGTCTGTCCACATGCTCAGGACTCAGGGGCCAGGACACAGCATGGTCCCTGAGGTACTGGCATAGGCAACCTCATTGTGGACTGTGCCCAGGTGGCACTGGTCAGCTCCGTCCTGCCAGGTGGCCAGGCCAAGTCATTCTCTTGTACACATATCCAACCTCTCAGTAAACCCTGTCGGCTCCAGCTTCTCAAAATTTACCCAGCACCTGTACCCTTCTCCTCCCACCACGGCCACCACCCTGGTCCCATCCACCCTCAGCTGCTGTCTGGCCCGTCGAAGCAGCTCCCACAGTCAGAAGGAGCCTGTGAAGAGCTGCATCAGATCACATCCCCCCCATCCCCATCCCCCCGTGCTCGGAGCCCTCCCGCTCTGAGTAAAGGGCAAAGTCCTCCCTGTGGGCCACGAGGCCCCATGTGATCTGCCTCCATCACCTCCCTGACCCTGTGGCCTTCCACTCTCTCCTTGCTAACCCTGCTCCAGCCACTCCTTGCTATCCTGTGACTACATCAATTATGTTCCCATCACAGGGTCTTTTTGCACCAGCTGTTTTCTCTGCATGGAACACTCTTCCTCAGGTATCCCCATGGCTCCCTCCTTCCCCTCCTTTGAGTCTTTGCTCAAATGTCACCTCCTCAGCCAGGCTTTCCCTGATCGCTGCCTTCACTATTACCTCCCACCCTTTTTGTCCCCCTCACTCTGCTGTTTTTCTCAGAAGCCTTCCATAGACTTCTCCACGGCTTCCGCTCACGGCCCCCCTCACCAGCTACTGGACATGGCTACCTTCCCTGCGCACGCCCACCTGTCCACTATGCCAGTGCTCCAGGAGGGCTGGTCAACTCAGCCTTCCTACTGGGGCCCTGCATTAGTTTCCGGCTGCTGCCGTAACAAATTCCCACAAACTTGGTGGCTTAAAATACAGAAACTTATTCTCTTGCTGCTCTGGAGACTGGAGTCCAGAATCAGTTGCACTGGGATAGAGTCAAGGTCGTGGCTGGGCTGCACTCTTTTCAGAGGCTCTAACAGAGAATCTGTTCTCCACTTCTTTCAGCTTCTGGGGACTGCTGGCATTCCTTGGCTTGTGGCTGCATCACTCCAGTCTCTGCCTCTGTAGTCACACTGCCTTCTCCTCTTCTGTGTACAACCTCACTGTGACTCTCATTTATAAGGACTTGCAAGCTGGCCAGTTAGCTCAGTTGTTTAGAGCACGGTGATGACAATATCAAGGTCCAGGGTTCAATCCCTATACCAGCCAGCCACTAAAAATACAAACAAATATAATGACATTTGTGACAGCTTTTTTAGCACACCTGGAGGATAATCTCCTCAACTCAAAATCATTAACTTAATTACATCCGCAAAGACCCTCTTCTCATATAACGTAACATTCATAGGTCCCAAGGATTGGAACCTTGTGTTAGTCTGTTCAAGTTGCTATAACAAAATAACATAAACTAGGTAGCTTATAAACAGAAATGCATTTCTCACAGTTCTAGAAGCTTCTGAAGTACAAGATCAAGATGCCAGCAAATTTGGTGTCTGGTGAGGGCCCACTTCCTCACAGATGGTGCCTTCTCCCTGTGTCCTTACCTGGTGGAAGGGGCCAGGGGTCTCTCTACAGCCTCTTTTATAACAGCACTAATCCCACTTATAGGAGGAGCCCTCATAACCTAATCCCCTCCTAAAGGCCCCACTTCCCAATCTTACTATTACTCAACAGAAAATACTAAGTGATCTGCTGGATTTAAAGGCATCATCAATCCTGTTGCCACAGCAAAGGGGCTTCTGTTAGTTCACAACACGCAGAAGCAAAACTGTTACTTAAATTGTCACCTGTGGTCACCTGTTATTTACAGTTTCAGTTCTACTCTACACTGGTCTCCTTGTTGACCAAAGACGGTGGCCATTGTCAATCAGGGCTGCTTGTTCTTATTCCTACTGAATCTCCCTGAAGCTCCTCTTCAGTGCAAGGTGCTTCATAAGTGCAGAGCAAACTCTTCTGGTACTGCACCAGCTGGATGGTGGAGTGGGTATCGGTACTGGGGAGTCCACCTTGGCAGGGACTGAGTGTAACAGACCGGTATGTGGGAAAACCTTGGACATGCCAAACATTAACCCCCNTCCCAAGGATTGGAACCTTGTGTTAGTCTGTTCAAGTTGCTATAACAAAATAACATAAACTGGGTGGCTTATAATCAGAAATGCATTTCTCACAGTTCTAGAAGCTTCTGAAGTACAAGATCAAGGTGCCAGCAAATTTGGTGTCTGGTGAGGGCCCACTTCCTCATAGATGGTGCCTTCTCCCTGTGTCCTTACCTGGTGGAAGGGGCCAGGGGTCTCTCTACAGCCTCTTTTATAACAGCACTAATCCCACTTATAGGGAGGAGCCCTCATAACCTAATCCCGTCCTAAAGGCCCCACTTCCTAATCTTACTATTACTCAACAGAAAATAATAAGTGATCTGCTGGATTTAAAGGCAT